AAAAATAAAATTTGTAAATGTAGATCTTATCGCCGCACATGATAAATCGGTAAAATTCTGTTCGATTGGAAACGGGAATCCTTATCTTTTGCTTGTCTTTTGATGACACGAGCGTGTTCGAGTCACCGATAAAACCGTGCGCTGCGTCACGAGGTCGTCACGTGAGGTGAACCGGACCGTGTACGTACATACGCGAGTCTCAGGTCGTCTGACGTAACGTACGTAATTGTCCGGTGTACATGTATCCGGGGAATATGCGAAACAAGAGTCGAATTATGTTTCCTCGCGCACTTGCGCGAAACCATTGTATTTTCTTTTCACGTGAACGAACTGCAGCCTCATGGAATGCATTCTTATGGAAGAGAGTCTTATTCTGATTTTCAGATATATCGTCGCCTAATCTTTCTAATTGTTAATTTCCAATCATGAAATGTAAGGGCGATATCGTGATGTTTTCAAGAAAAAATGCGACCCCTTTAGAGTATTACATCGAGTACTTACTTATGATACTTGGATACGCCCGTATTTGGCCTACCGAATCGTTTTCGCCACTTGAAATATTGTTTTCAACGGTAGCAACGGCGATTTTCATATCGACCAATTTTCTACTTTTATTTACGGAGATCGTGGCGCTTATGATGAGCAACGATTTGGAATTATTTGCTAATATCGTCGGAGTAATCGGCATGCATTCTGTAGGCTTAATAAAATGGTGTTATTGCATAAGGAAAAATAAGGAGATCGTCGATATTGTGGAGCAGTTAAAAAAATGCCACGTACTTTGCCAACGAATTGATAACAGCGAGAAAGGTACGTCAATTATCTATTGATACAAGTACATATATTTGTGTTGGTATTTTCAATTATAAAATTTTAAATTATCACGAAAAATATCAAATGGTTAGTAGAATTGTATTGTGTAATTTTTGTGTAATTTTGTATTACATCGCATGATTTTTGATTTTTGTTTCAAACTCGGTGAATATTTAACTAATTTTTTCCACGCTCGATTTCAGGAATACAAATTGTATTCTTACATATTCTTGTCGGTTCCTTTTGCGAATCATTAATTTTAAAGTAATTTAAAACTGTTATTTTTGTATTAACAAAGATCTGTATTATTGACAAAGATCTTTTTATTAGGGTATCGAATATATAGAAATGAAATGGAATACGTGCATAAATATTCCAATTACTTCATACGGTTCTGGGCATTTGCTTGCGTTTATGGTGTTTTACATTGGTGCGCCAATCCATTACTCCTGAGACTTTGGATACCAGACCAGATAAATCCGATTAATTATACATTGAAAGAAAGAAATTTACCATTTGTCGGATGGTATCCGTTAAACACTGATAATATTTATAATTACGTTTGTTTATACTTTATGCAGATAATCGGCGGTATATCTCCCGCGCTTGGAATTGTCTGTTATGACGCTTTTTACATCAGCATGCTAATGAGCATCTGCATGCAATTTCAATATATCAACATCATACTAAAATTGAAATTAAACATAAACGATTTTGATAAGTATGATTATGCTATTATTTTAAAATAAATTTTTTAATCATGAAAATCAAATATATATCTTGGGGATTTGCAGCGTTCCAAGAGCTATATTAAATCTCGAGAGCAAATTAAAGAATTCCGTAGATTGTCATACAGAAATTATGAAGTAAGATCATATTATTAGATCATTATTAAATAATGTAATAAATTGCCTATTATTAAATTTCATCAGATCATCTGTAATAATTAATTTCATCATTAATCTTGAGTCAAATTAATGTTAATTTTCAATTAATTTTTAAATTTCGCATGTTATAATTTTGAGATAATCTTTTTTTGGTAATAGCATCATATTTAAGAAATCTGAATTTCTAGATTTCTAAAAATGCTACAAACATTTTCTAGTCCTACAATGTTTGTACAATGCATCGAAACATTATTTGTCCTGTGTTTAGTCTCATTTGAAGCATCAGCGATTAAAATTGCGGTACAAATCACTTTACGTTTCATACATTTAATACGCTGAATATTCTACAATTTTTGCTGGTATTTGAACAACATAATTAAACAACAAAGTTTTTTTTGCATCTCGACAGATTGATATAGAATCTATTTTGAAATTATGGGCTCTGTTTGAATACTTTTTGTGCGCTGCGTTACAATTATTTTTCTTCTGTTTCTTCGCCACTCAAGTACAATATTTGGTTAGTGTAATATTAAAATATTTTATACAAATATTTTTCTATTGTATTCTTAAAAACTTTCAAGTTAAGTGATATAATGTATTATAAGCGATACCAACCCAGAACTATAAAAATAGAATTATTAATTTTAACTTTTAAATCATTTCAGGGCTTGCAAATTGCGCATTCAATATATTGTTGCGACTGGGAACTGATAATTTTTGACAAACAAGAACAATTGGAATTGAAATTAAAACATCGTAATATTAATCGATTAGTGCAAACTATTACGGTGCGAGCACAGAGGCCTATTGTTTTAACTGGTGGTCCATTTTACATTCTTTCATTGGAAACTTTCAGAGTCGTAAGTAACGTTACGCGTAACATCTTTCATATATTTATCTAATGTATCTATCTAATATATTTATATAATTTCATATATTTATCATTTCACTTTATTTCTAGAAACCTATATCTAATTTTTAGAATATGTATATCATCTTTAATACCATCATGTATATCATCTTTAACTTGGCAATCGTTTTCTCTTTGCATTGAGTATTAGAAAGAATGTTTTATTATTAATGGACATTGTCAAATATTTGTGTTAAATTATTTAATATTTGATATATAAAAACTTATTTATATTTTTACATAAAACATTTATAGAAAAATATAAAAATTAAATATAAATATCAATCATGAGAATTACGATTATGATCCACGATTATAATCTATTCATATAATAGAAAATATACTGCATACATATTTCGCTTTTAACTTACAAAATTTATATTACAGATAATTAGTATGGCAATGTCAATTTCTGTAATGTTGCGTACAATCTCTGATACAGGCGAGTGAATTAAAATTATTTAATCACATATATATCTTTATCTTTATTATCTTTATTATCTTTGTCTTTATTACATCTTTATTACATCTTGTAAGAGTTTATAAACATTATAGCTATAATTCAATGCTGAAATTGAAATAATGTGTATGGAATATTGATTAAATATAATGTATTTTACATAATTCTCTACATACTATCAAATCAAAAAATATTTTGTTACATTTAAAACAGAAATTTTTTGTATACAAATAATTCTTTTTATCTCAAATATTTAAACATCATGTAAAGTATACTATAGTTTATATTGAATATTGTGTATTAATATCATATGAGATTAGTAATTGTAATAGAAACTTATT